CCACATGTCTGTTATTCATTCCTTTTGGGGGGAGGGGCAGGGCTATATATCTAAGCTTGTGATAGGTTCCCTTTTCCCTGGCCCCCCCAAAATTTATATTTTTATCTTCCAGTTTTCCACAAGCTTTTTGAAAACAATACTGAGGTAGGATTCCTGTGATGGAAGTCAAAGTGTATGCTGTTGAGATGGGGTGACGGGGCGCCAGTGAAGGGACTTTCCTGAGTATACATTTACAGGAGCTGGAATATACTGAAGGAATTTATGTATTTGCTGATATTGGTGCTAGAAGCGTGAAGATCATATGGAACAAGTATGAGAATGTAAGGACATAGCTCTAGCCCTGGGAAACATTGCAATACTTTTCCAGGCCAGAACCATTAAATAAATACCAGATTCCTTCGGAGAGATGCCAAGTCGTGGGGCACAATGCTTAACTGCTCAGCTGCTACCTGGTTTCAGGTCAGTAATTAAAATCCTTAAGTGGTTCTGTGGGAGGTAAGACCCGAGAGTCTGCTCTCATAAAGAATGCAGCCTAGAAAAACCCTATGGGGGAGTTCTCTGTCCTATAGGGTTAATATAAACTGGAAGCCACTCAATGACACACTTGACAACATGCTTGCATTCAAGTATTTTAGATCAGTTGAGTCTCTGTGTGGTGCAAATGTGCTTGACTGGTAATCAAAAGGTTCGATGTTTGAGAGCAGCAACTTGGAAGAGAAGCAGTTAAGCATCGTGATATGAAAAGTCAGCCATTAAAAACACTACGCTAGATTGTCTCTGACACATGGAGTCCACATGAGTTAGAATCAACTCCATGGCAACTGGTTAATATCCAATAGAAGTAAAATGCAGGCCACATTTTTTTTAAGTAGGAAGGAACAGGAATAATTATTTTTTAACAACCATTTCATCTAATATACTTGAGATACTTCAATATAAAAGCAATATAAAATTATTGAGGCAATCCCCTAATAAAACGATTTAAAAAAATTATTGAGGCATGTTCCATTTTTTTTTGTTCTAAGTCTTTGGAATCTAGTACTTTGGTTACGTAGCATCTTTATTTAGACTATCCACATTGCACATGCTCAGTGGTCACGTCACCTGGGAGTGTTAGGGGTATTTGCTCTTCTCTGTGGCAGTTGAGCTGCTCTTGCGAAAGCAGTCTTCTGCCTCAAGGAGAACAGGTGACTGGATGGTATCAGCCTGGAAAATCTGTAGTGATCCTCAGATATGTCCCTCAGTAGCTGTCACAGCAGCTTATGTTTTGATCTCTGTGTGTCTGACCCCTTTGTGTCTCTGGGCTGGATGAGAACGTAAGGTGATAGGAAGATATTATTTAATGAAACTTTAACAACCTCAGAGCTCTTGTGGTGTAGTGGTTATGTGCTGAGTTGCTAGCCTCAGGGTCAACAGTTGGAAACCACCAGCAGCAATGGGGGAGAAAGCTTAGTCTCAGAAGCTCACAGGGACAGTTCTGCCCTTGCTTCATCAGGTCACCACGCATCACAATGGACTCAGTGGCAGGGAGTTTGGATTTTGGCTTTTCAACAGCCTAATGAGGAAATATCTATTGCCAGGCGTTACCAAAAGATCATTTCCTGACATCATTTCACCTCTTGATTGGGCATTAAAAACCAGTTGCTGGCAAGTTGATTCTGACTCATGGGCCCAATCTGTACTTGAGTACAGCTGTGAGCCATCGGATTTTCCATGGCTGTAACCTTCCGGAAGTAGGTGGTGAGGAACTCAAGGACCCACTGATGGATTTGAACTGCCGTCATTTCTGTTAGTAACTGAGCACTTAACCACTGGCAGCGCTGGTGGACTCCTCCTAATCCATCGTGCCTCTGAAGGAAGAAGATACTTTATTAGAGCTGGAAATTTCTGAAGAGTTAAGGGGTCGTCAATGGGTGTACTCAATAGAAACCCCTGAGCTCCCTCACCACCGCAAAACCACATGTAAGACAAAGAAACCACAGCCATGGTGGTGACACCGGAGGCCCTGGGGCTCATCACTGCCCTACTGATTCTTTCGTCTGGCTGGCCATAAATGTAGTGGCATCAGTTATAGCTACGTGTATGCTGACTGTGTTTCTCAGTTGGAAGATCACCCTATGTCACCCTTTGGCTGACATGCAATGATTGTTCTAGCGAACATCCTTTTATACACCTGTTAAATTGATTTACTAATCAGTGTTCCCCTCCACTTTTACTATAAATGTTGAGGTTTTACCCTTTCAACTATTTTAGTACCCCAATGACATCACTAGGGTATGAGTGTAGTGCTCATCAGAGGGGATCTCTATAAAATGTGCAGTATTTCAGCAGATATTTTAAAATAAAAGATTGCTGTGGTTATTTATAGGAACAAAAAGTGTTCTTAAAAGCCCAGCTTACAATGTCAGTGTACCCTCCCAGGCTCCAATTTGAGGCTAATTTGATTTTTTGCTTATGTAAGAGCTGTCAATATTACTCAATTACAATAGTGTGGTTTCATCTACGCCAGTACTGACACCTACTTTTGTTTTCATTGCTCCTGGTTTTTTAGTTACAGTGGTGCTGTAATTAGTATTTAGGAACCTGTATCAATAACTTTGAGAATGAAGTACTCAGAAAAGGGAAAATTATAAAGACTTCTCAGATACTAATAATAGAGTCATTCATAATTCTGTGTAGAAAGATTTCATGAGACAATTTTGTTAGTATTTATCTAACAAGAAATACTACATTTAAGCAATTTACAACTATTCTTACGTTTTAAAATTAAAATTAGTTAAACTTTACTAAGGATTCTGTATGATCTCATGGGGAGGAGATGGGCGTGTGACACCAGAATTATGGCACTAGGTGACGCCAAACCCAATGATGCCATTGAAACATCTCGTTGGCCCTCCGGGAGCAGGTCCACTGTGTCCGCCTCAGCGTCCGAAGCCTTGTGGGAACCGTAGTTTTCCGAGGGTGGGTTTTGCGCACGCGCTCTGCTATCTCTGCGTCCGGGGAACGCGATCCGTTTCGCGCCCAAGGTGAGATCTTAGTGGTCCAGGTTTGGAGGGACCTGCGGCCCGAGGAGGGGACTGGGCCAAAGGGAAGGCATGCTTAGCGCGGCGACGGGAACTGCGAACTGCGCGCGGCCACGGTCCCCAGCCTGGCCTTGAACGGGGTCCGGAGCTGGCGGGAGCGGGCAGTGGCGAGGCGAGGTCAGGTCGGGATCGCCCGGCCCCGTCCGTGCGGTCAGTGCCTGGGGTTTGGTTGCGCGGGGCCGCGAACCCGAGCCAGACCCGGACTGGGGGCTGCTGATGTGCTCCCCAAGCCTTCCGGACTGAACGGTGCGCCTTCCAACCCCCGCGCCTCCATACCAATTCCGTAACCCGGCATTGAAGTGACCGCACTGAATCCTGAGTGCCCTTCCCCTCCTTCCTCTCCCGCGTCCCACGGGGCAGTCGGCCAGGGCCTGCTTCTCATCCCCGGCGCTGCTTGCCACCACCAGCCAGACCTTTTTTTTAACTTGGCATTTCGATTAGTCTGCAAATGTTTCTTGAGCACCGAAGATACGGAATTAGCGGTCTCACTGTGAGGAATGCACAATGTGGCTTCCCAGAGTCATCATCTACGTGAGATAACGCAAAGACACAAATCACAATCACAGAGGCTAGCATTAGCCAGGTGATTGAGTCAGAAATAGGGATCTGCAAAGAAGATTTTTAAGAACAAACCAAACCCACTGCCAATGAGTCGATTCTGCCCCAGAGTGGCCTCATGAAGGGCTCAGACGCTGCGGCCTCAACTTGGTGCGCAAGAGTGGCAGACGGACTCCAGCCACGGGTGTGGCCGTTAGCAGTGCCTCTGGGGATCTCTGAAGACGACATGACTGATTATTAAGTGATTTTACAGAATCGAGAGTGAATTGAAAGAGAGCTCATAGCCTGGAAAAGAACTTTCTGCATTTCTCAGGAAATTGCTCAGGAAGCTTGGCTCGAGCTATCCATAGCTTATTTTCATGCATTGGTAGGCATCTTAGATTAATAATGTTTCATCTTCCCGCCACACTGTTGATTGGTTTTTCTCTGCTGCTCAGATGGCATGACAGAATATGTCACATGACTCAAGTGCAGACTGGTGGGGAAAACACTGCTTTCTCGTGGTTCTACTAACAAAAAATACCAGAAGGACTCTGAGTCAGACGCCAGTCAGCTTTGGCCAGAGATTGGAGTCTGTTTTTACTAGTGTGGGGCAGAGGGAGAGTGAAATACTAACAGAACTCAAGGGACAGTACACCAGCTGCTGCTTTGCCGCGTGTTTTTTACCTTGAAATACTACTATTTAAGGAAACTATGTAGTGACCCAGACTGGCCATAGTCCCCTTCTTAAGGAAACTGCTCCTACCCCCACCCTCTGCCCACACCCCCACCTCCACGGTTCTTTGTTTCAAAAAGACACTTGTCGATTTGCAGTATCAAAATTATTGTACTATTTATTGGTGTCTTTCCCAGTTGACCCCCAATCGAGACTACACCAAAGGAGAGTGCATTTTAAGCCAATAAGCTGCAGGACGCACACCTAACGTACCTCACAGAAACCTCACCCAGACGGGGAGCAGGGTGGGGAGAGGACTTTTGAAAAGTTCAGCTCCCTGCCAGCCTACAGACTGTGGAGTAAACTCAGTTAGACACCCAATCCCAAAGACGCAAAGTTTCGAAATGATAAGTGTTTTGTACACACGACTTCAATCCCCCTCCAGCACTGACTGATAACGAGCACTTTGAGGGACAGCAGCTCAGACCAGAACAGGGTGGCGAGATGACTTCATAGGGCTGCAACAGTGGCAAATCCATAGTCTCCTAGTGGCGGGTTGGGCTGCTCAGAACCACCAGCCGCTCTGAGGGAGAAAGATGGGGCTTTCTACTCCTGTAAAGAGCGGCAGTCTTGGAAACTCACAGGGCCAGTGTTACCCTGTCGTGGAGTGTCACTGTGAATTGGAATCGACTCGCTGCAGTGGGTTTTTTAAAGTTTTGCCTTTTAAGAGGAGCAAATAAGTGGGGATGCCAATAGAGGGGCACATACTGTGCGTCATTCGGAAGGGAGCAGAGAAAAGATGGGACAGAGAAGGGGTCCCAGACATCCTAATTGGTCACTTCTGATGATATAAAATAAAAAGCACCTTGCTCCAAGATAGTGTAAATCTGAAAACCTAAATAGGGCTTTTATTGTTATTATTTTAGCTACCTCTTGGAAGCACTTTTCTGCTCTGGTTGATGCTCTAAGGGTTCCCACAGTGGAGTCTTCCTTGGCTCTCAATAAGCCGGGAGGCCTGGTGCTTAAGGGTCACACACTGGACTGCGATTCGAAAGGTCGGCCCTTCAAAATCACCAACCACTCCTTAGGAGAGAGACCAGTCTCTCTATTCCTGTAATCAGTGGATGTGTCGGAAACCCCCACGGGCTCACTATGCGGCAGCATGGGGTGACAAGGCAGACCCATACTTCGCTCCGCCTCTGTAGAGACAGTATGCATTCGGCTGAAAAATTAACTTCCAAACCTAAGAAAGGGATTGCTGCTTCAGGGCTGTGACACTATTTGGAGAGTTTTCCAGGCGGCTGCTGCCACAACGCCAGGCAATTACAAGTTGCGTCCAGCACATGCTTTGTAAGACACTTGCCCAGGGCTCACGTTTCCTCGGATGTTCCCCAGAGTGCTCAGCCTCTAGCCTAGCTGTAATCTGGGGGAGGACAGAGGCCATCAGAAAACAAACAGACTCACGGCCATTGAGTTGATTCCTACTCAGCGACCCTATAGGACAGGGCAGACCTGCCCCTGTGGGTTTGTGAGACTGTAACTTTTTATTACAGAAGGAAGCCCGTGTTTCTCCCAAGAGATGGTGGTTTTGAACTGCTGAGCTTCGGGTTAGCAGCCCAGCACATAACCACTACTCACCAGGGTTCCTCAAAGACAGCTTCTCGGAAACTCTAAACCCAAACTCCCAGCCGCTGACTCATAGCCACCCTATTGGACAGGGTGGAACTGTCCCTGTGGGTTTCTGAGACTGTAACTCTTTCGAGCAGTAGAAAGTCCTGTCCTCCCTCAAAGCAACTGATGTTTTTGAACTGCTGACTTTAAGGGTTGCAGCCTTATGTGACACCACTATGCCAGTTAGGAAAGTGGGGGATAGGTGTAGTTTGGGGGGCGGGTAGCTGGAGAAAGTAGTCTTCCAGTTAAAGATCCGTCGTCTGTTTACAGGTCAGCTTCGGACAACCTGGCCTCAGGGTGAGGAGGAGGAGGAGCATCCAGGTGGGTCTGGGGTGCTCTACTCCTCATTCCAGTCCAGCAGGATCTGGTCCAATACCCTTTGTGTACAAAGGTGCTCGCTGGTGCTCTCTGTTTCTCTCCACATCAGTGGTCGCTTGCAGCTGGCCACTGCTCTCAGCAACTCAGCACGGGTCTCTGTGAGTTTATCAGCACGAGTCTTCCTCTCTCAGTCTTCCTCTCTCCCTCGTATTTGCTTGCTTTCCGAGGGAACTTTTGCTCATTCATCTCTCCGCCAGCCCAGCCCGCTCCATAGCGCGTTCCAAGCTCCCGTCAATGTCACTGACTTGGAAGCCTCCTCCTCACACTTCCGGTCTGCCTTTTCTGAAATTTGCTTGGTTTCCTTGAGTTGCATTTCCTAGAGCTCCATCTTTTAAGTACCGGATTTCAAGAACCTTCATACCTCTTTCGCTCCCTGTAAGATAATGTGGAGAGTGGCTCTTATCTTTCCAATCAAATGGTACGATCTGCAAGGAAAAACACATATAAAAGAGACAGACAAAAGTTAGGGAATGGGGGTGGGGGTGGGGGGGTCCCTGCAGTATAGACACTCCCAGGGCCCAGAGCTTTTTTAGGGTCAGGCTTAAATACTTTCCTTGCACGCAGCCTACAACACATGGCAGGTTTACACAGAAGGACAGTTTAATTCTTTAAGAGTATACAAAGGAGCATTGACATTTCAACCAAGTGATTCACAGAGGGAGAGAGAGGCCTGAGAGGATGAGGATGGGAGCATGAAGAAACTGATAAATGTGCAGGTGCCTGCTTTCGGCAGCGTTTGCCAGGGAACAGGAGGCAAAGTGTCCATTTTATCTCGGGTGGAGAGACAGGCCAGCACCTGCTTCAGTCAGCTCCCCAGGATGAGCTGTCAGCAGCATCCTTCCATGGCCTTGAGCCATGAAAGGTGATGGCTCTGTCCCATTTGCCTAAGGAACAAACAGCTTTTCCCGCAAACTCCCATCAGCATCTTTCTCTGCTTCCTCCAGCTATTGCAGGGCAGTGGCCAGGCATACCTGACTTGGTCCAATTCCTTTCAACCAGCAGAATCTGAAGGTTCAAGGCCACCTCAGCCTCAGCCTGTTCCTGGACCTGTCTTCCCTTCCACTTCCTGCTGGAGGTATTGATAACCCCTCCCCAGCGTCACTGGCCTGCTGCTGTAGAACCCCAATCTTCAGTCACCACCTCGATGGTGGCGATCCTGGCCATAGTACCCACCCAACTTTTGCTCACACTCTAGTTCTGCCTCCTCTGCTCAGCATAGCAGCCACTTCTCCTTAGAGAACTGCTCTTGTTTAGGCGCCTCTGCCACAGCTGATTGACAAGAGATGGAAACAATCCAAAGTCATTGGCTTCTTAATGGCTAAAACTCCAGGTAGGAGATGGAGACCACGATAAATTGATAGTGGGCGAGGGGCCAACAAGCCCAGGAGAATTGAAGGTTAGGGACCTCAGTGAGTCTGCTCTGTGCCGAGGGGAATAAAGCATGCTACTCCAGAAGGAGGGAGAAATGCAAGGCCCATGTAGCTCTTGACAACCGGAAAAAGTAGTCTTGGTTCAAGCCCAGTTCTCATGTTGCCATTCTCCAGGCATATGTCAGGTGCCCCGCAGACATGCACGCGTGCACACGCACACACACAGCAGAAGTAAAGTAGCCATTTTAAATATTTATGATGACATCTGCATATTCCCTGTCTAGAGATCTCGAGGAGCTGTACACTAAAGATGTGGAGCACTATCCATACACAGAGGGACATGCAAATATATTGCCCACAGAAATACACCCTCTGACTGGTAGTTGTCATGGATTGAATTGTGGCCCCCCAAAGTATATGTCAACTTGCCCGGGCCATGATTCTCCTTGGTTCGAAAGTTCTATCCTGACACAACTTGGTATTTATGTAGTGATGTAATCATCCCCTCTGATGTGATCTGACAATCCGTTATAAGGGGATTAGGGTGGGATGTTTACCAAGAGCTCAGCCTTGATCTGGTGTAAGAGGATTTTCCTAGGGGGTAGGGAGAGCCTGCATCTCTTCTTATCTCGTTATCATACACAAGATAAAAGGAAAGAGAAGCAAGGAGGGAGAGGGAGAGGGGCCTCCTTACTACCAAGAAAGAAGAGCCGCACACAGGGTACTACTGCCTCTGGACCATGGATCCTGCACTGAGCAGCCCCTAGACTCCAGGGAAGACATACTAAGACACTGAAATCTCCCAAGGGTGCTGAGCCCACAGATGGTGCACGGAGGCAAAGACCTTCCTTCAGAGCCGACAGAGAAGCCTTTCCTGAGAGTTGGTGCCCTGAATTCAGACTTCTAACCTTCTAAACAACAAGAGAATAAATTTGTATTTGTTAAAGCCATCCACTTAGGGTAATTCTGTTATGGCAGCACTTAGAGCACCAAGACAGTCGTCGATCTCAGCCACAGCTGGAATCCCGAATGTAGTGCTGAGTGACATTGGGTGCCATAGCAGTCTGCACAGAGCAGCCTTGAGTGGACACTGCTGGCCTCTTACTCCTAATTTCTTTCCCTTTTTCTTTCTACCCCTCTACCCTCTTCCTTGGCCTTGGAAGAAGTACAGCCAGGATGCTCCTTAGAAATGAGGATGGTGAGACTTTGTCATGTGTGCTTGGACATGTTATCAGGAGACCAGTCCTTGGAAAAGAGCACTGTGCTTGGTCAGGTAGCGGGTCAGTGAAAAAGAGGAAGGCCCTCAACAGAGTGGATTGACAGTGGCTGCAACCATGGGCTCAATCAAAGCAATTGTAAGGATGGGGCAGGACGACACAGTATTTTGCTCTGTTGTTCTTAGGGCCACCGTGAGCCGGAACTGACTCAACGGCGCCGAACCACAGCACTGGGCGCTGACGATCACAACACTGGAGTCAACTAGATGCCAGTGGGTTTGGTTTAGGAGGATGGGGACCTGTTCTTCTCAAACCATAGTCCAAACTGAAGCTCATCGCCATCAAGTCAGTTCTGACTCACAAGAACCCTATAAGACGGGGTAGAACTGCCCCTGTGAATTTCCGAGCCTGCCCTTCTACAGAAATAGAAAGCCACATCTTTCTCCTGTGGAGCTGGCTAGTGGTTTCACTGCTGAGTGTCATCACCACTGTGCTAGTGAGCTAAAGGATAAACCCTCGTAGAAGTCACTGATGTCAAGATGCCTGATGCAGTTTGCCTGTGGTCTCTCTATCATTCCCTTTGCACGCTAAATATGACCTCCCTTGACGCGAGCTGGCTTTAGTGTGATCCTGGCGCTTTGTCCTGTAGCACTGACTCTGAGCTCACACACACCGTCTATTCACTGTGACTGTGCTGTGGTGGACCTTACAGACCATGAGCCCTTTGAAGAAAAGTGTCAGCATAAGCATTCTCCTGCTCATGTTCTCCTGAGTGTCAAATTCAGTGAGTGCACCATTGCTTTTATTGCCAATGTATGCTTAATCACTATAGAGTGCAATGCTGATTGCACTGTTAAAATGGTGTAAATATTAACTATGGGGTGCGTTATTTGACTTTTAATCATTTTCCAACTTGGGAATACAGTCCTGTTCCCAGGATCTGTTAATCTGGGAGAAAAATTGAAACAATGTCTATCATATTCACCCCCTAGGAAGGGAGGGGCCTGCTCTGGGTTTGCTGTGGTATGGGGCGTAAAGGCTGTTTCACATCCAGTAAAGGGACATTTTGTTGTTGTTGCCTGGGTCCAATCCCTACAACATGAAACTAGTCTATTTCGTGATTCCTGTCCTAGCTCATCCACCTCTGGACCGGACTTTTTTCCGAGTATACAGAAGATAGGGAAAATGGTAACTGTGGCCCTAACAGCTAGATGGCAGGTGAGTTGCATTTTTCTTCAGCCTGGGGCTTCCTCAGCAAGCAGGGATGGAGTGGGTTGGAGACTGGGGCTGTTTCTGTGAAAAAGACTATAGAGAACGTTTGCCTTCGACTTTTCTCATCAGGCAGCACACCTTCAGGATCTTCCCTATTGAATAGCCCTTCTTAAAACCTTGACCACAGGTCCACATCCTGCATTTGCAATGAATGACTGGGTGACAGAGAGTTGAGACAGTTATGGGTGGAGTTAAAAGAGAGTTAAGGACAGACACCTCTGCCCTTGATAATGAGCCTGATGGTTCAGATCGCTCTTAAAGGATTTTTTTAAGATGTGTTAGGCCAGGTTGACTAGCAAAACAAATCTAGAGACACTCGTGCATATGTAAAAAAGAGCTTTATATCAAGAAGTAATTATATATTACACAAACATGCCAGCCCAGTTCCAGATCAAGTCCTTAAGTCCCATACTAGCCCTTAAGTCTAATACTAGTGCACAAATCCCACTTCAGACTCACGAAGCACAGGCAATGATGCAGAATACAGGAAGATCACAGGCTCAGGCCGATAGGTGTAATGTCTTGTGGATCCGATGGTGGTGGCTGCATCACAGGGCTTGCCGGTTTCAGAGAGACTCAACAGCAGGAAGGTGAAGCCAGAGAGAGAGAGGGAGTTCCCAGAATCCTCCTTATGAGAAGGCCATGCCCACCAGGAGGTACCATCAGGCTGTGACCTGATTGACAGGCTAGACTCCACCCCTACACTTTTATATCTTCAAGTTGACATGAAATCATGTAACTATCACATCAGAGGATTCAAATTCTGGATCTGGTCTGGGCCAAGGCAATCTTCCCATTCAGTGAGGCATCACATCTTTGTCCCTTTCCCAGTTTGGATAATTCGGTTACCTGTTAACTCATAGGTCTTCCTCTGGCTTGAGAACTAAGTTTGTTAGACTTAGATCTCATGAATCCATGAACATTAGACTTGGGAGGGACTTTAGCGATCATTGGACCCAATTCTTTCAGAAAGTTGAGTTGGAAAATTGAGGCTAACAGGAGGCTCAGCTACGGGGATGAGACCATGAACAAGAGTGTCATGCCTCGTGTCACAGATCTGTGCCTTTTGCCTAAAGCGTCCAGTGTCCTCAGCTCGACATTATGAAAACCATTTATTTTCCATTCCACATGTCTTCCAGTGCTGCAGTCCTTCCTTCTCCTCAGGCTTCAAAGAAGGGACACAGATGAACAGAATGTGCTTGTCTTTGCGGAAGTCACTGAAGCTTCAGGATGTGGCCCTGACACTTGCAGAGGCCGAGTGGACTCGGCTGGTCCCTCCTCAAAGGGCCTTATACAGAGAAGTGATGCTGGAGACCTATAAGGGTTGTGTGTCTTTGGGTGAGCATAGTGACTCCGTGTCTGCCTTGCTTTCCTCTAGATCCCCAGGAAGGCCGGAAGAGTGGTGGGTGGGTTTATTTGACTTTTGCTGTTTGTGCTTAATCAAAGATGTTAGTGCTGGGATTTAGTAGATGTCTCAAGGAGCTACTTTGAAAATGTCTTTACTTACAGGGTTGCTATGAGTCAGTATTAACTGATGGCAATGGGTTTGGCCTCTGGTTTTGTTTAGCAATGTTATAATAAAACCCTTTTGCTTATATAAGAGGTAAAATGGGTTGCTATAGATTAAAAAGCCAGACCTAAAAGTATACCCGAAAGAACAATAGAAGAGAGAGACAGTATAGAGACTGTGTTTTAAATAAGAAGCCTGAGATGATTCCAGACTCTGTGTTCTACTGTAAATGAATCAGAAGACCAGCAAATAGAGCAAGATGCTTGGAGGAAGGCAGGAGGAAGACTGCTCAGTCCCATTCGCAGAAGTTCCTAAAGCCAATGGCAAGGACGTGAGCTAAGGTTGTAAAAACGCAGCTGTAATTTGAGTAAAAGCTCACCTTGCAGCCTGGGGACACCCTAAGCCACTAGGAATGGCTTTTCTGATCTTGGTGGCACTTACAGGCTAAATGAAGGTTAGGCTGAAGGCCCATTTTAAGGTGAAAGAAAACGTGTATTATGTAAAACTGGAATTGGGCAGCCTTCAGGAAATTGAGGGAAAGTGAGACACGTTTGTCTTAACCTTGCTTAAAATTAAGAAAAAATGGAAGCACTGTAAAATCTGAAAACCATTGAGTTGATTCTGACTCATAGTGACTTGTGCAGGGTTTCCAAGGATTTTTAAATCGTTATTGGATCAAAGCATCTCATCTTTCTTCCTCGGAGTGGGTGGTGGGTTTGAAGCACCAGTGCTGCTCTTAGCAGTCTGGTGCTTGCCTGACATCATCACCAGGGCTCCTTGGATGATATTTATAGGGTTAGAAAGACATTCATGATGGCTTGATTAGTAAATGGTAAAAGCAAGCTGCAAATGTTTGGAGCTTGAGTCCATTTACAAAAACAATGAACCATGCACAGATATATCTATATGCCATGAAAAATCTGGAAAGGTCAACACCAAACTAGTACCAGTAATTTTCTTTGACTAGTAGACTTGCAGGTGATTTTTTTTTTCTTAAATATTTTCCAATCATCTGTAAGCTAATGTAGAGACCAGCTCTTATCTTACAAACCAAATGGGTCCCAGAGGGTATGATCTACAAGGAGAAAACTTATGTACAAAAGGGATCAGCAAAAGGCGCAGGGGACCCTGCAGTAGACAATCCAGGGCCTCAAACTTTATTAGACGCAGGCTTAAATATTCCCTACACATAGCCTGCAACACGTGACAGGATTACACAAAGGGACAGTTCACAATTCTTTAAAGTTTTACAAAGGACCTTTAACACATCAGCCAAGTTATTCACAGACAGGGGAAGGGAGGGTAAGGTTGGGAACATGATGTAACTGATATGTTTGCAGACTACTGTCTTCTGCAGCTTTACTCAGGGAATAGGAAGCAAGTGTCCGATTATCTCAGGCCAGCCTCTCAGCTTCATCAGCTCCCATGACTGAGCCATCAGCATTCTTGCATGGGCCATGAACCATGGAAGGTAGTGGTCCTGTCCCATTTGCCTAATGAGCAAACAACTTTTCCTCCACAATCATTGTGTTAGGCTGGATTGACTAGAGAAACAAATTCATTGACGCTCATGTATGTGTAAGAAAAAGCTTTATATCAAGGCGTAATTGTAATCAAGAAAACATCCCAGCTCAGGCCAAATCAAGTTCATAAGTCTGATACTAGCTCATAAAGCCCTCTTTAGACTCATGTAGCTACATGCAATGATGGAAAATGCAGGAAGAGCACAGGCTGGTAGGTCCAAAGTCTTGTGGATCCAGTGGCTTTGAAGCATCTCAGCGCTGGTGTGGGTCTCCACGCGGCTCCTCCAGCTTTCTGAGTGTGGCTCTTCGCCAGGAACGTGAAGCAGGGAGAGGGGCTCTTACAGGTCTCAGCAAGTCTCCGTGTGGCTTGTCAACAGGAAGCTGAAGGGAGAGAGGGAGAGAGAGGAAGTTCCCAGCATCTGCATGAGGCCACACCCACAAGGAGGCATCATCTGGCTGTAATCTGATTGACAGGCTAGACTCCACCCTATAACTTATCAAGTTGACATGAAATGATGTAACTACCACAATCATCTTCTTCAATAAACATGGAATATTTTGAAATACAATTGACCCTTAAGCAACATGGGTTGGAACTGCACAAGTCCACCGATACTCAGATTTTCTTTTAAATGTGTAGGGTACCAATCAACTCCATGTTAGTACCCAGAAAATTGCATGTGGAAGTAAAAAGGGACCACTCAAGGTGCTCGCTTAGTTGCCATGGAGTTGAGTGCAGCACTGTAAAGCTGGAATCATACCATGGGAGCCATGTGCAGTGCCACTAGTTCTGTGGAAGTGCTCCCAGGGAGCAGAGGAAGGCCATGCCATTACACGAAGGAGCGGATTGCCTTTTATGCACCAAAAATGACGGTCTGCAAATGTGGATGGCCACCCTTTCAAAATAAACAAAGCCAACATTCAGACCATTGTTAAAAAAAGAAAGAAGATGAAATTCATGGGGCTGTCACTGCAGCTACACCTCTCTTGTTGCCATTAAGTCAATGCTGACTCATAGCAACACCCCCACCCCCCCACCCACCGTGGACTTCTGGGATTGTAACTCAGAGTAGAAAGCCCAGCCCAGCCTTTTTCCTGTGGAGCTGCTGGTAGTTTTGAACAGCCAACCATGCGGATCACAGCCCACCGTGTAACCTCCACATCACCAGAAGGAGTGAAAATCTGGTACTTTTCCAAAATGTTTTACCTTGTACTGAAACTGCAGTTGTTCTCTGGATCTACATGCAAAATATGTGTTGATAGACTGTATATGCAATTGGAAAAGAGTTGCGTTTGGGGGGATTCAAAAGTTATATGTGGAATTCTGACTGTGCAGGGGGTGGTATCTTAACCTATTGTTTAAGGGTCAATTGTACTGTAAAAAATATAAAGAAGGTGCATAAGCAACTGTGGTAAAGAAAGCTGACAGTACCCAACTATCAAAAGATATAGTGTCTGGGGTCTTAAAGGCTTGAAGATAAACAAGTGGCCATCTAGCTCAGAAGCAACAAAGCCCACACTGGAAGAAGTACACCAGCCTGTGTGATCACAAGGTGTTGATAGGATCAGGTATCAGGCATCAAAGAACAAAAAATCATATTATTGTGAATGAGGGGGAGGGCAGAGTAGAGACCCAAAGCCCATCTGTAGGCAACTGGACATCCCTTACAGAAGGAGATGAGCCAGTCAGGGTGCAATGTAGCACCGATGAAACATACAACTTTCCTCTAGTTCTTTAATGCTTCCTCCCCACCACTATCACGATTCCAATTCTACCGTACAAATCCGGCTAGACCAGAGGATGTACACTAGTACAGATAAGAGTTAGAAACACAGGGAATCCAGGACAGAAAACCCCTCAGGACCAATAATGAGAGTAGCCATACCAGGAGAGGAAGTGGAAGAGGAAGGTGGGGGAAGAAGGGGGAACCTATCACAAGGATCTACCTATAACCCCCTCCCAGGGGGATGGACAGCAGAAAAGTGAGTGAAGGGAGACATTGGACAGTGTGAGACTTGAAAAATGAATAATTTATAAATTTTCAAGTGTTTGGGAGGGAGGAAGGGTGGGGGAGGGAGGGGGGAAATGAGGAGCTGATACCAGAGGCTCAAGTAGAATGCAAATATTTTGAGGATGATGGTGGCAACAAATGGACAAATGTGCTTGACACATGGATGTGTGTATGGATTGTGATAAGAGTTGTACAAGCCCCCAATAAAATGATTTTTAAAAAACTATAAAGAAAACAAGAAAGCACGTTTTTAAACACACAGGAGATGAACACCAAGTCTTGTATGGTAGTTACCTCATGGAAGGAAGAGGGAGTCAGAAAGGGCAGGGCTCCAATCTTAATGTGTTGTGTGGTAGGTTCTTAGTTTTTCACTTTAATATTGATATTTTTTTGTAGTTCTTAAATATTTCGGATCCATGGCTGTTGATTCTGATTCACATCGACCCCATAATAAGGCTGCAAATCTGTATGGAAGCCGACTACTTCATCTTTCTCCCAGAGGGTAGCTGGCGGATTTGAACCAGAACATTTTTGGTTAATAGCTGAATGCTTTAACCAGTCTGCCACCAGGACTCCTTAAATATTTCATAAGACAATTAAAAGTTACTAGTTTAATTTTTTTTAAGCTGAGGACCCCATATCTTTGTCTTTTTAAGAAATTCTAAAAAAAACAACTGGTAAGTGATGTTCTCAGATTTAAGTGTTTCATAGCATCTGTACAGTAATTGAATTATATTTCTAAAACTGTTCTGTTTTGATTTGTAGTTTTTAAACTCAATACAATTATGCAGAAGTAAAGCAAATAGATAAAAATGCATTATTTAAATTTCAAAGGCTACAGAAGAAAATGAGGTGGCTTCACAGTGCTGTCCTGAGTGCAGGACCTTTTCCATATGCCTTTAAGCCAAGACCTTTCCCTCAGCGTAAAGAAGGACTAGTTCCCCTTGGGGGAGGGTCCCAGGAATAAGTGAACACATCCACTAAAATTAACTTAGATTTTCTAGAAAGTCTCTCCTAACTCGCACTCCTAATTCTGGAAATTAAGCATATACTTTCTGGATAATCCCATTTCCTCCTTAGGAACTGGTATTAACCTTGCAATGGCTATGAATTTTCGTCCCCAAAGCCATTTCTCATTTTGTTCTTTGTAAGTAGGACTTCTAGTTCCTAACATGGATGTGATTTTCCAGTTGGAAAGTGGTGAAGACCCCTGGACACTTGATTTTCAGGGAACTGACGAGAAAGAAGAATCAGCATGCACTACTGCAGGTGATTGTGAAGTGGACAGATGGGCCTTAGGTAGACAGTTCGTTTGGGAGTCTGTAGGTCTGTGGAGATAGTCATTGCTATATTGGGCTTTTCCCTGGAAAACTCATCCCCAGATATTCACATGAATATATTTTATCAAGTCTTTTCTCTAATATGTTAGCCTCCCAGCCAGGTCTTCCCTGATCATGCAGTTGAACACGGAATGTTCTCTATCTTTTCCCGCCTTTCCCAGAGCCTGTACTACGTTTTTCTTCCCAGCACTATCTTCCTAGCATCGTCCATTTTCACTTCTTCATGGATTGTCTACCTCCTAATTAAAATAAATACTCTGTAAGAGATATTTTGGTTTAGATTATTTGCTATTATATCCTCAGTTCTTAGAGTAGAACCTGGCATATCACATACTCTGATATTTGTCAAACAAATAAATCAGTGGAGCTGTGCATAATTGGGCCTTCCCTGTTTTTGTTTATTTGTTTTGGTTGGGGTTGAGGTGAAAGGGTTGAGATGTATCTTTAATTCAACTCTAATGATACTTCCTCATCGGCCCTGCTTATCCTTTACCATATCTCCTTTCTCTTCCTTCTCACCATCACCCAGTTTCATGACAGCTCACTTTCTCAGATGCTAGTCTGTCTCCCAAGTAGCCTGGGTGTCAACGTGAGCTACTCACTCATTGGTGCTAACTGAGGTTAGCAGTTCAGTCCCACCAGCTGCTCCACAGGAGAAAGATGAGGTTTCTGTTCCTGCAAGGATTCACAGTCTAGGAAACTCACTGGGCACGTCTCCTCTGCCCTATGGGTCACTGTGAGTTGGAAATGCTTCGCTAGCTGTGTCTTTGGTTTGGTTTGTCTCCATCCCTGCTTCTTTTCTGCAGTTCATATTCACTGGCACATAACTGTGTGTCCTATGTGCCTTCCTTTCCCTGAAGTGGTGTTTGTTGTGGCTGTTTACACGGCTAATTTATTTTCTTTCAGATCTCAGGTTAAATGTCATCTCCTGGGGAC